CACGAGAAAGAATTACTTGGGCGAGAGCAATTCCATCAGTTTCTTCTTCTGCATGAGTTCTTACTCGATTGTTTATCGAAGCAGACCGAAAATTCGGCTCACCTAAGAACAATCTTGAATTTGCACTCTTGCACAATCTTAACTTCCAATTTAGCACATTTCTCTGCACAGTTCTTGAAAGATGAGTCGTGATGTACAGGAATGATTTTGAAGGTTAGGATTGAAATCGACGAATTGACATCAGTATCAAATGATCTCAATGGCATTGTACTGAACGGATCGGTTGACTTGAACATTAATCGTGCTAAAGTGTTGTCGAATCGAAACGACGGCATTGTGACATCTCTCGATGCAGATTCGTCAGTGCAAATCAGTGATTCAGTTGTTGCTAACAACGGGAATGCAGGATTACGTGCACTGCCGGCTGAGAGAACTCGTTTCAAGATAATTGCGACGAATTTCACTGCTCATCATAATGGGTTAGCGCTTTTTGAGGTGTAAATTTCGATGAATGAATGAATTCGTGAAACAAATATCTCATAGAAAATCTTCAAAGAAGTGAAGCATATTGCATCATTCCTGATTTCCTCTTCATATCATTATTTCCTTTTGCATTTTCGTTTACCTCTTTCGAAGACGTGAATTCTTTCAATCGTATTCAGTTGACAGAAGTGAAAAATCGTACTAGAAAAACTCTCCTCTCACTTCAGCCACTCATTTAATGTACGAATTTCCCATAAAAGCAGAACAATTTAGGGAGGCAATTGTTGCGATGAAACAAACAAAGCTAGATCTGTCTGTGGATAATTGCAACTTCTGGATGAATAATGTTGGAGTGATTACTTTGAATGAGATGTTCAAATGTGACTTACGTATTTCACGATGCAATTTTACGCGAAATAAAGGAACGACACTATCGATTAAACGATTTCATTCTGCCACGAATATACAAGTAACAGAAAATCGTTTCGCATATAATCAATTGCACAAGACGAACATTTTGAATGCTGTCGTTGATATGGAAACATTAGAAGATGGTAAAATTGTGATCGTTTATTTGTTGTTTTCACCCACATTCTTTGCACTCAAACGGAAATTCAATTCTGGGAAAGGGGAAATTTACTGAGGTATTTTTAACGGATGCTCAGGTGTTTTTCTGCATTCCAATGAATATTTTCGACTCAAACATCCGTTTGGGCTGGCAATATGGCTCGCAACCCAGTGCAAATGCTTTTGTTTCTTAAATATGGTAGAGGAGGTACTGAAATGGAAAACTGTGTATTTTGGAGAATCAGTAATAAAGCTTACTTTACACATGTATAGCCATAGACCGTCTCTTTATCAATCTTACGCGACACTTTTCAAATGTTCAGTTATTATTTAAGGGAGTCGTGTACATATCAATGATAATGCATTCGTTCGAAACACAATGGAAAATATCGTGCGAATTATGAACTCCGATGTTGTAACTGGTCAATCGACTCCAACGCAAGTATCGTTCTCATCGAACACGTTGCTCGCAAATCTGGCTGTTGATGTAATGCTAATATCGGTACCGAACGCAAATATCACTCAAAATCGTTTCGAGGATGTGCAAGCACAATGTGAACTAAAAACGGGCTTCAAAATGGGCAATGCCCTAATCTCAGCACCGAATAATTTTTGGGGTACCGACAAAGAGATTGAGGTCAAAACAATTATCAATTTTTTTGTTCCAGAACTAAAAACAGCATTCACGTTTCGAGACTGTAGTTTATGGAAATGTGATTGTCATTGATTTCTAGCGCTGCTTTCTCGAGCTTTTAAGCCATAGGATGTCTTCTGTTAATGTTATCGAG